AATATGTCGAAGTGACGTCGGTGACCGCCGTGCTATATAAAAATGCAATCCGAGTGGGCGGCGGCCGGGTAGCTGTTGGTAAGTGCCAACAGCTACCCGGCCACAATCCCTTGCACAAAATACATTCTGGTGGGCAAGGGCGGGTAGTTGTTGCACAAATAGTAAGTCGAAGTGACTGCGGTGTTCGCCGCGCTACATCAAAGCGCATGCCAGCGGGCGGCGGCGGGGCAGTTGGACAAATACCCGCCATCATCCTCGTAACAGCCCCTCCTTTGGGCGGCGGCGGCGCGAAAGCTCCCAGCCGCGCAAATTTCCATAACATTGGAACGTCTACCCTGTGATTTTGCACCGAACCCTTCTCCCTAGCTGTGCCGGTTCCGACACAACGACCTACGCGTCTTCCGCGTTGTTGACCTAGCGATTTGCTACTGTTACGCTGCCGCGGACGCCGAGAATCGCGCGAAGCTCCCAGACGCAAGAATTCCCATAACATTGGAACGTCTACCCGTGATTTTGCACGAACTCCTTCTCCCTAGCTGTGCCGTATCCGATTCAACGACCTAACGGTCTTCCGCGTTGTCGACCTAGCGATTTGCTAACTGTTACGCTACCGCGGACGCCGAGAATCGCGCGAAAGCTCCCAGACGCACAAACTTCCATAACATTGGAACGTCTACCCGTGATCTTACACCAGGTGACTGTGGCGTCGATGGCTGAGGTGTCGATGGCGCAGACGACGATGCCGATGATTTATTGTCTCGCCCCCCCGAATCTGTTCAGTTCAGCGCCGCGCGACGAGGGGTGGGCGGCTGTCTGGGCGGCGGCAAGCTAGTCGCTAAACGCAAACTAATTCCCCAGCCGAGCGGACGGACACGCGCTGCGCATTAGCGAAAGAAAACGGCTTAGAAGCCTCTAAGCGAACAACCCTCGTCAAAAATAAACTGACGGATTCTGTTTTCGGTGATTGTATGGTCAGCGCTACTCCAATGCTGACGCTAGATATCTGACGTGGACGCAAGGGTTTCAAAAATCCGACGACCCCTCCGCAGCATTGAAAAACGCAATTTCTAGCGAGTGCCCGAGAAAATCGATCGCTGTGCTTTCCATATGCGTTTCTGTTTATTTTTGACGAGGCTTGGCCGCTGTAAAAATCAGTGTTCACCCCAAACAATAGGTTCTTATATTATCTTGGCACCATATGCGCGGTGCAATGTACATCGCGCTAAACTGCCACGCGCGGCACCCAAGAAACTCGAGCACGGCAGCCGCGGAAGACGCGCGGGGCCGGCGGCGGCGGCGCGGCCGACGGCGGGGGGGAGGCACCCATCTACTTGGTCCTATCAAGGAGATATACTTCTGGACCCCCCCGCGGCAACCTGGCAGCCGCCCCTGGACCCCCCCGCGGCAACCTGGGGGCCGCCCACTCGGCATGTGCTTTGATGCAGCGCGGCGAACACCGCAGTAACTTCGGCATATTATTTGTACAACAACTACCCACCCTTGCCCACCAGAGTGTATTTTTTTTGCAAAGGATTATGGCCGGGTAGTTGTTGGTACTAACCAACAACTACCCGGCCGCCGCCCACTCGGATTGCATTTTTATATAGCGCGGCGGTCACCGACGTCACTTTGACTTATTATTTGTACAACAACTACCCACCCATGTCCACCGGAGTGTATTCTTTGTTACTGATTATTGCCGGGTACTTGGGTAGTTGCATTTTTCTAAAAGAATAACATGCCCCCCCTTTCCTTTCTTTTAAAGATTTGCAACTACTCAAGTACCTGGCAATCATACGTTACAAAAAAATACACTCCGGTGGACATGGGTGGGTAGTTGTTGTACAAATAATATGTCGAAGTGACGTCGGTGACCGCCGTACTATATAAAAATGCAACCCGAGTGGGCGGCGGTCGGGTAGTTGTTGGTTAGTACCAACAACTACCCGGCCATAATCCTTTGCAAAAAATACACTCTGGTGGGCAAGGGTGGGTAGTTGTTGTACAAATAATACGTCGAAGTGACTGCAGTGCCCGCCGCGCTAAATCAAAGCGCATGCCGAGTGGGCGGCGGCGGGGTAGTTGGACAAATACCCGCCATCATCCTTTGTAACAGCCCTCCTTTGGGCGGCGGCGGCGCGAAAGCTCCCAGCCGCGCAAATTTCCATAACATTGGAACGTCTACCTGTGATTTTGCACCGTCCCTTCTCCTTAGCTGCGCCGGTTCCGACACAACGACCTAAACGCGTCTTCCGTGTTGTTGACCTAGCGATTTGCTACTGTCACGCTGCCGCGGACGCCGAGAATCGTGCGAAAGCTCCCAGACGCAAGAATTTCCATAAGATTGGAACGTCTACCCGTGATTTTGCACGAACTCCTTCTCCCTAGCTGTGCCGTATCCGATTCAACGACCTATGCGGTCTTCCGCGTTGTCGACCTAGCGATTTGCTAATTGTTGCGCTACAGCGGACGCCGAGAATCGCGCGAAAGCTCCCAGACGCACGAACTTCCATGACATTGGAACGTCTACCCGCTATCTTACACCAGGTGATTGTGGCGTCGATGGCTGAGGTGTCGATGGCGCAGACGACGATGCCGATGATTTATCTGTCTCGTCCCCCCGAATCTGTTCAGTCAGCGCCGCGCGACAAGGGGTGGGCGGCTGTCTGGGCGGCGGCAAGCTAGTCGCTAAACGCAAAGTAATTATCCAGCCGAGCGGGCGGACACGTGCTGCGCACTAGCGAAAGAAAGCAGCTTAGAAGCCTATAAGCGAATGGCCGCTGTAAAAATCAGCGTTCACCCCAAACAATAGGTTCTTATATTATCTTGGCGCCATATGTGCGGTGCAATGTACATCGCGCTAAACTGCCACGCGCGGCGCCCAAGAAACTCGAGCACGGCAGCCGCGGAAGACGCGCGGGGCCGGCGGCGGCGGCGCGGCCGACGGCGGGGGGAGGCACCCATCTACTTGGTCCTATCAAGAAGATATACTTCTGGACCCCCCCGCGGCAACCTGGCAGCCGCCCCTGGACCCCCCGCGGCAACCTGGGGGCCGCCCACTCGGCATGCGCTTTGATGCAGCGCGGCGAACACCGCAGTAACTTCGGCATATTATTTGTACAACAACTACCCACCCTTGCCCACCAGAGTGTATTTTTTGCAAAGGATTATGGCCGGGTAGTTGTTGGCACTAACCAACAACTACCCGGCCGCCGTCCACTCGGATTGTATTTTTATATAGCGCGGCGGTCACCGACGTCACTTCGACTTATTATTTGTACAACAACTACCCACCCATGTCCACCGGAGTGTATTTTTTGTTACTGAGTATTGCCGGGTACTTGGGTAGTTGCATTTTTCTAAAAGAATAACATGCCCCCCCTTTCCTTTCTTTTAAAAATTTGCAACTACTCAAGTACCCGGCAATCATACGTGACAAAAAATACACTCCGGTGGACATGGGTGGGTAGTTGTTGTACAAATAATATGTCGAAGTGACGTCGGTGACCGCCGTACTATATAAAAATGCAACCCGAGTGGGCGGCGGTCGGGTAGTTGTTGGTTAGTACCAACAACTACCCGGCCATAATCCTTTGCAAAAAATACACTCTGGTGGGCAAGGGTGGGTAGTTGTTGTACAAATAATACGTCGAAGTGACTGCAGTGCCCGCCGCGCTAAATCAAAGCGCATGCCGAGTGGGCGGCGGCGGGGTAGTTGGACAAATACCCGCCATCATCCTTTGTAACAGCCCTCCTTTGGGCGGCGGCGGCGCGAAAGCTCCCAGCCGCGCAAATTTCCATAACATTGGAACGTCTACCTGTGATTTTGCACCGCCCCTTCTCCTTAGCTGCGCCGGTTCCGACACAACGACCTAAACGCGTCTTCCGTGTTGTTGACCTAGCGATTTGCTACTGTCACGCTGCCACGGACGCCGAGAATCGTGCGAAAGCTCCCAGACGCAAGAATTTCCATAAGATCGGAACGTCTACCCGTGATTTTGCACGAATTCCTTCTCCCTAGCTGTGCCGTATCCGATTCAACGACCTATGCGGTCTTCCGCGTTGTCAACCTAGCGATTTGCTAATTGTTGCGCTACAGCGGACGCCGAGAATCGCGCGAAAGCTCCCAGACGCACGAACTTCCATAACATTGGAACGCTACCCGCTATCTTACACCAGGTGATTGTGGCGTCGATGGCTGAGGTGTCGATGGCGCAGACGACGATGCCGATGATTTATCTGTCTCGTCCCCCCGAATCTGTTCAGTTCAGCGCCGCGCGACAGGGGGTGGGCGGCTGTCTGGGCGGCGGCAAGCTAGTCGCTAAACGCAAAATAATTATCCAGCCGAGCGGACGGACACGTGCTGCGCACTAGCGAAAGAAAGCGGCGTAGAAGCCTATAAGCGAACAACCCTCGTCAAAAATAAACTGAGGGATTCTGTCTTCGGTGATTGTATGGTCAGCGCTACTCCAATGCTGACGCTAGATATCTGACGTGGACGCAAGGGTTTCAAAAATCCGACGACCCCTCCGCAGCATTGAAAAACGCAATTTCTAGCGAGTGCCCGAGAAAATCGATCGCTGTGCTTTCCATATGCGTTTCTGTTTATTTTTGACGAGGCTTGTAGTAGCATTAATATTAGATTCTGCGGGCTTCAAAATGAGACTCATGCCACTGGTCTGAAGACGCGCACCCTTCCCTCCAACAGATGCCAAGAAATCACGAGCGTCTTTATCAGAAGCAAACTGCAAAAAAGACGCTTTCGAGACGGTCTGCGAATTACGAGGGCCGGTGAAAAAAAGACCCATTGAAACGGGTCTCACCGACGAATTCGCATCAGAGACAATTTTTTCGAAGGCGGTGATGCGTTGCTGAAGGTCCGAGGTTGAAAAACCGACAACGGCGATCTGAAGGTTCGAGACATCCATGGCACTCAGCATTTGCAAATGCCGGCTGGAAAACGAACTCGCTGCTGCAGAAGCCGGTCTCGATTCCACGGCCTGCAAGCGACTGCGGAAGTCGGCCATCTCGTCCCTCAGAGGGTCCACGGCCGCAGCGATCGCGCACTTCATCTCGGCCCGGAAGGATCCAATGTCCTGTTTGGTGGCCGTTTCACACTTGAGGGACATGTTCTGCATGATGAAGTTCAGTTTGTCGTCGGTCGAAGCCGAAACCGGCGGCACGAGAACCTGGGCAGGTGCCTGCGGGGGAACAAAGCCCGCGCCCGCAACCGGGGGGGCGACACCCGCGCCCGGACTCAGGGGGGCGAAACCCGCGCCTGATGCACCACCGGAACTGCCACCCGCAGGGCCAGTTCCGGGAGCCGCATGCACGCCACCCGAAGGGCCGTTGCATGCACCGCTAGAAGCGGGAGCACTTGCGAAAGCAGTGCTCGGCTCTGCCGCACCGCTCGCCACGCCAGGGAAGGCGGGAGCTGGTGCAAACTCGCCCGTGCCCAGGCCCCGGCTCTGGTCCATCAGAGAATCTGCTTCTGCAAGCCTTCTGCTCCCGGGGGAAAACGCCTGCTGAACAGCAGCACGGCGAGCACTCAGACGCGCCAAGGTCTCCTTGCCACCCTTCTCGAACGCTGGTTTCTGGACGCCGGGAACGCCGGCCATGCTGAACATGGTAGCGAGCGAGAAAAAGAGTCAGCACAGCGAATGTCAAAAGACTGCGGTGAGACCGCCCCGGCGACAGGCGAAGATAGACTGCCCCGATGAACAGTTTGGCATGGTAGCTTAAACCTCAGCCAAATGGCTTGAGCCAAAAATGGCTTGAGCCAAATGCCGGCTGGAAAACGAACTCGTTGCTGCAGAAGCCGGTCTCGATTCCACGACTGCAAGTCCGGAAGTCAGCGATCTCGTCCCTCAGCGGGTCGACAGCTGCAGCGATCGCGCATTTCATCTCGGCCTGGAGGGATCCGATGTCCTGTTTGGTGGCCATTTCGCTCTTAAGGGACATGTTCTGCATGATGAAATTCAATTTGTCGTCGGCCGAAGCAGAAACCGGCGGCGCGACAACCAGGCCAAGTGCCTGCGCGGGAACGAAACCCGCGCCCGCATCCGGGGACACCCGCGCCCGGAAACAGGGGGGACGAAACCCGCGCCTGATGCACCACCGGTGCCACCCGAAAGCCGGTTCTGGGAACCGCATGCACGCCCCCCGAAAAGCCATTGCATGCAACGGCAAAGGCGGGAGCACTTCCAAAAGCACCGCTTGGCTCTGCCGCACCGCTCGCTCGCCCGGGATAGCGGGGGCCGGTGCAAACTCGCCCGTGCCCAGGCCCTGGCCTTGGTCCATGAGAGATCTGCGTCTGCCAGTCGCTTGCTCTCAGGGGAACATGCCTGTTCAACACCAGCACGGCAAACACTCAAACAAAAATCAAGAATTAATATTTTCGCTGTGGTGCGCAAGGCGAGAATCATTAGATAGTATATTATATTCTAGACATGCAGACGCAACACAATACGACTGAATATGATAACCTGCGAGGCAAAACTAATACATTCCCTCGCGATGTCGTGTTTAAACTGCTTTTTCTGTCTAATGGAATCACAATGTCGGTAGCAACAACCCACGATAACTCGTTAGGTGTCGAAAAACTGTGCAACGATCCAATATCATTGATCGTTTTTCTTTTTGTCCTACATGTTGTAGTGTTATTAGAATTCAGAATATGTGTGTTGGATCTTGAAAAATGTACAATTAATGTGAACAAAAGAATGTAATAAAGAACAACACTTCCATTGCTAACGTTGTGTATTTAGGTTTTCCATTTGACGAATTCGATTCGTAACTGCTTATTATTTTACTCTGGATTATGCTCTTTTAGACACGCGAATAATAATGCATAAAACTACGGATATTTACAATCAATGTTTCCAGTTCTTTGAGATTCTGTTTTTTTGTAATCATTAATCACCAAAAATGCGAAATTTTTGTATTCGCCCAAATCATACATTCGTTGTTTCTACGCGATCTTGGCTCACTCCTTCGCGTTTCTGAATTGCTTGTCTTGTTGATCGACGTTGGAAAGGATGTTTCAATAACTTGCATTGAAACTAGGTACTACGTGCGGTCAATATTGCTTCCCAATTACCTAAAATTTGCACCCCAGTTACAGAATAACGGTACTGTAGAAACATGCAATACATGAAATTGTCGAGAATGCTATATTGACTATCAAACATAATACAAAACACTGCACTGTGCAATTGCTATTCCATATCAAGAATTGATAGTATTATTTTGTTGTCCTTTCCCGCCTTGCTTTCTCTTAATGAACTCAATTAACTTAGGATCACGATATCGAAACCAACTAGAATATAAATCTGGGAGAAACAACGAACAATCTTCTGAATTGAGTTAATTCAATCAATACAACCCAATCGAGTACGCACACTCTGTAGAAAAAAAACAGTATACTTCAACCAGATCACAAAATTAACGTAATAATATGGGAATAAGCCCGCTCTAACAGAACAAATCGACTGCATCAAAAAGGGATAAATCTGCATGTACATTCGCATGAATGTATGATCAATAACGAATAGATGTGCGCGTGGAAAGTCAATGTATAAAGTGTACTTAAATATGTGTACATACACATGTATTTAAACACATGTTGATGCACATGTAAGTGTTCATGTATATGTTCATGCATACGTAAAATTATGCGTGCGTGGTGTGTATGTATGTATGTATGTGCACATGTATATTTATCACTGGATTCTAGTTGTGTTATTCCTGTAAACCTAAACTTAAATGATCAAACGCGGGGCACGTCGATTCACTACATACATGCATTGAAATCTAGATTCATGATTTCCATGCGCCCCCTTCCATCTTCATCATTTAAACCTAGATTTAAATGATTTGACGCACGTCCGCTATCTGAATCATTTAAATCTAGATTTAAATGATTTCCATAGACCTGACTTCACTTCACCATTCAAATCTAGACTTTAATGATTCCGGTACACCGCATCTATCTGTCATCATTTAAATCTAGATTAAAATGATTTCCGTACACATCCACTGCCATATCATTGAAATCTAGATTCAAATGATTTCACTACATTCACGCGTCGTCAATCCTCTCGAACAACGCAAATTTTACATCAGCGAGGAAAGGGGGGAGCAGGCGGAGCAGGAGGAGAGAAAGAGGAGAACCAAAAGGAGGAGGCGGAAACGGAAACGCAAACGGAGGCGGAGGCGGCGGCGGAAGGGGCGCCTCCGAAACGGACGCGGAAGCAAAAGTCCAAACGAAAACAGAAGCAGAAGCGGACGCGGACGCGGACGCAGACACGGAAGCGGAGGCGCAGACGGAATCGGTGCCCAGGGAGAAGCAGAGATGGAAGCGGAGGCAAAAGTGGATGCGGAAATAGACGCGGAGACAGAAGCGGAGGCAGCAGGCGGAGGCGGAAACCGAGCCGGAGGCGGAGGCGGAAACAAAGCGGAGGCGGAGGCGGAGGCAATGACGAACGCAGACGGAAAGTGGAGGCGGAGGGTGAGGCGGAGGCGAAAGTAAAACCAAAAACGGAGGAAGATGAAAAAATAGCAAGAGAAAGAGGCGGTAAACGAGAAAAGGGAGGAACGGGAAGAACAGAGAGAAGAGACACAAAAAAGAACAAGATAAACGAAAAAGAGCAGACGAAAAAAGGGATGAGAAAAGGTTTGTTTTATTTATGTTTTTTATGTTTTTGTTTTTTTTGTTATATATATAAACAAAAAATAGTGTTTATTTGTTCTTTAAACAAAAATTGAAACTTGAGGAAAAGAAAAATCTTAGAAATCGAACCCCTCATGGACTTGAAAACGACTTCAAAAACTACTCTGACGGACCTGAAAAATCTCAACTTTGGCCGATCTCAAAATCTGGGCCGCAAACGAATTCGATGGCTCAAAACGCCGAAAAAATCAACGCGGGTTGAAAGGAGAGCACAAACACGCCGACGCAAGCGCGGGGCGCGACTGAAGACCGGCTCGAAAATTGCCGGTTAAGGCGTTTCGAAAATCCGGGGCAAGGCGGCTGGAAATTTCCAAGGTAAAGCGGCTCGGAAAATTCGGGCTAAGGCGGCTCGAAAATTGGGACTAAGGCGGCTCGAAACATTCAGGCCAAAACGGCTCGAAAAAAAATCAGGCCAAAACGGCTCGAAACATTAGAGCTGAGGCGGCTCGAAAAATGCGGAACGAGAATTATTTTATCGGATCTCGGAATCTCAATGTCGACCAAAACTGCCTCGGAAATATGCCCATAAATGGTGCTCTTAAAGCAATGCTTCAACATCTCAGAATATCTAAAAACCTTTTCTTTTTCAATGGAATCGCGATGATAACTATTGTAAACAACATTCACAGATGATACGCGGCGTCAAAGGCACGGTGTCGTGGCTCAAGCTGTTGTGGCAAGAGCTCAAGCTACCAAACTAAATTGTTCCAGGCAGTCTATCTTCGCGTGTCGCCGGGGCGGTCTACCACCACAATGTTTTACCATCCTCACTGTACTTCTCCCCTCAGTCAGCCATGTCGGGAAGTTCTTCCAGTGGCGTGCAGAAGCCCGCGTTCGACAAAGGCAAAGGTGACCCCATGCGAGCACTCCGCGAACGCCAGGCCGCCGAGAGAGCCGCTCTCAGTCCTGAAAGTAAAGCACGTGCAGATGCGGCAAGTTTGATGGACGAATCGTGCGGAGGCTGTTTGGCTGGTCAGTTCCAGCCTGCCCCTGCTTTCCCAGGCTTGGGAAGCGGAGCAGGGAGCGCAGAGCCGAGCTTCGCTCCTGGGACCGGCCCTGCGGGAGGCAGTCCCAGTGCATGCGAAGGCCCCGCGAGTGGCGCGCATGCGGCTCCCAAGACCGGCCCTCCGGGCGGCAGTCTTGGGGGTGCACCTGGGACCGGCCCCTTGGGTGGCAGTCCCGGGCCGGGTGCGGGTTCTGCCCCCCCGGGAGCGGGCGTGGGTTTCGTCCCCCCGCCGGCACCTGCGCCCCCAGCTTTTCCACTGGAAACGTCGGTTGGCGAGAAAGCTCTCTTCGACATTTTGAAGGTCATGAATACGAACATGGCTACAAACAGTGGTCTTTCAGCCATGCATACGCAGATCACCTCGGAGACTAAAGTTGCTATCGCTCAGGCGGTAGACCCTTTGAAAGACGAGATGCAAGAGCTTCGGGCTAGAATGAGTCAGCTTGAAACGTCGACAAGTGCCG